CCCTAAACCTGTCCAGCTGTTTCTCCTCTCCCCGCCCCCTCCCCCAACCCCAGCTGTGTTCTACTTTACAGTAGGACTTGTCCATTTCCACCACGCTGCTCTGCCCACGTCTCTCTCTCTCTCTCTCTCTCTTTCTCTCTCTCTTTCTCTCTCTCTCTCTCTCTCTCTCTCATCAGTGCATGAGAAATTACCTAATGAGGAATGGGTCGCACATTTCCACAAACTCATTAACCCACGAGCGAGTGAGACTAATTGCAGTGTTTGGGTAATGTGATTTCACATCTGTTACTGCAGCCCAGGACACAGTAGTCAGCACAGGGTGGATCTGCTGGGCTGAGCTGCTCATAGAGCTGCACATGATAGAACAGCTCTCTCTCTCTCTGGTTGTGTGGTCAACTGGATAAAAGCTATGAACAAAAAAAAAAAAAAAAAAAAACAACAACAACAAAAACATTAAACATCAAATTATGACAAATGTCATTATTGAGTCACCTTTATTTTCTGTTTACACTTTATTTTTTAATGAAGTGCAACTTTGTTATTAAATGTGATGGTGTTATATACTCCTGATGCACGAACCTCAACAGTTAAAAAAAGTTGGAAAATAATACATTTTATAATATGTTGGAAAACTTCAGGCTGTTTCTTTCAATTTAATTGTTTATAACATATGGTTACAGACAGAGGGAGGGAAGGGGAGAGAGAGCGAGAGGGAGAGAGAGAGAAAGAGAGAGAGTAAGAGAGAGAGAGAAAGAGAGAGAGAGAGAGCTCACAGGCAGTGGAATGAATGAAAGTTACTGGGTCCTGACTTTGTTTGGTATTTTCAATAATTCAGTAAATTACTGCAAAGGAATTTATGTCAATGAAAAAGTGGAAAACAAGTGGTAAATGTGTGAGAAAGTATATCCTGTTGTTAATTATGATTAATACTGTTTAACCTCAGCGCATTGTCACCGAAACTCTAATTATAAGTTTACAGGCGGTGGGGCTGCTTATGGTGATGCTGTATCACATCAATTACCATGCCGTGACCGTGGATTGGCCTCAGTGCTGGAAACGAGATGAGGTTAACACGCTGATTAATTTGTGCTGCTGTGATTCCAGGCTGTAGTTTCAGGTTGGCGGAGACGGTGAGGTTCATCCCAGGAAAAATGAAATTTACTTCAACTCTGGGACAGCCCTGAACTTCGAACACAATCAATACTGTTTAAAAAAAAAAATCTCACAAACACATACAAGTATATATATATACTTATATATATATACATATATATATGTAAATATATATATATATATGATAATTACTTAATGAGTATTTCTGACGAGTGTCACGTACTATGTGTTAAACGGAATGCTACTGTCCTGCTTTGGCTTTCTGTGATGATCACGTGAAACGTACAAAACACTCTAAAACACAGAACTAACGAGGACCTATAGAACAACAGTACTGGTACTGTTAGGTTTCCGTGTCCAAACAGCTACTAACAGAGTCCACCCAGATAACAGCAGCAGATGTTTCACCCAATAAAGTCTATAGAGTGAAGAGAACACTGGCAGGAGTTTGGTAATGGTATCTTAACTCGGATAAAACTACAAAATAAAGCCATAAAATATAAATGATAGTCCCTGTAATACCCTGTTACAATATTAATGCAGTGTGAGTTAGATATTTAGTTTCAGTCATTTGGAGTTTTTGCCTTGGATTCTGATGAGACACTACTGCATCTGCAATAATAAAAAACGTCTCATCACAATGTAATTGAGTACAAATACTATAAATATAAGTAGTATTATATGCTGTATATGAGTATTCCATATTCTCTTGTTTACAGAGGTTTTAGTTATTTGCCCTAAATCAATTATTAATTAATTAATTAATTAATTAAATTAATCATTAACTTTGTTTAACCTTTATTTTTATCTCTACTGCAGTAATGCAGTAGAGTAGAATTAGAAGTAAAATCATATAAACCAAATATAAAAGACACTGAGATCAAAAAGGTCTAAATTCTCATTTAGTGAAGTCTGGAAACTGGTGGGAAATCGTGGCGGGAAAAACTTTTTTATGTTGAGGTCAAACACAGTTTCATTATTGACTGATTTCATTTTATTTTAAGCATTTTTAGTATTTCATTTCTACACAGTGGTCACTGCAGAAAACCCATAAGGAAACAAATCTGTAGTATAAATACCGTTGACTTCACATGACGTCACCTGCCTCTGTGTTCACAGTACACGGAGTCCTCTGGGCAGGATGACCGTCATGGTCAAACTCTCAGCAGTGACTGTCACCATCACATCACTGACATCTTTACCGCTGCTGTCGACCACCATGGGACCACTCACCCTTCAAACCCTGTCCGTAAACCCCACCGCCCGCAGACACTCCCATCACCAGAAGGTCACAATGTCGGATGCCGACGCTAAGTCCGTGAACGTCGCATTTTTCACACGTACAGCTTGACTCGAGCGTGACGCTGCTGTGGATCTGTGTGAGTGCGAATCAATGGAGACACGAATCATCCTCGGTTTTGGGTCGTTCTTGAAAATTCCTTTTTATTTGTTTGTCATTTTTAAATCGGTACAAAGCCGTCAGTGTGGTGCATTTCGATGTAAGATCAAACATTTAAGAAATGTGTCAAGTAATAGCACATACGATAAGTTAAAACATGTCACAGAAAAGACCAGCGGTACACAGCAAGAATGTTTCATCTACACAAAACATCCTAAAACATGGAAGGCCTATTGAACGATCATGGTATATATATTTGCGTTTTTCTTCTTTTTGATTGATGCTCCTGTGTCTCCTGCAGAGGTCCGAGGACCGAGGTCACCTCATGGGTATCTGCTCAATCTGAGTGGGAACCATTCTCTCCTCCAATGATCCGAGTGTTTAAATCCACATGCACAGTGCACTTCTGACCCAGTTCAACAGGCCCACCTATGATACGGTGCGGATTTTGGTCGGTTTTTTTCTTACGCAAAATGTATATCAAATTTTAATAAACAACCGTTTGACATAAACACAACTTCACCTGAACACAATAACACGTGCGTGAAGACGCACCGAAGGGAAAATAAATACCACGATATTTTTTGGCTCACAGTAAGTAGGGCCTGCAGTCTAAAGATCAATACAATATTTATTATCGGTAGTTGATAAAATCCCTTCGAGGTAACGAGATAAATAACCGCAAAATTAAGTTTTAATTTCCATTCCCTTTGACCGTCCTCATTTTGTCATTAAGTCTAGATGAAGTCACACCCGCTCTCCATTTCCTCCCAGTTAAATCCTGATTAACTCGCCCTCATTCTCTGGTGTCGATCTAAATGGAGCAGGACGTAAATGAGTCCCAGAGTGGGTCTGGGGGAGTTCACTAGGTGAAACTCATGGACACTGTGTGCTCCAGCGCTTTGCGCCGCAGCGACGCGATGCTTGTCCCTCTCCACATGTCACTGTCCGGGGAACTACACAGCTGCGGGGAACCCGATACGTTCGTGGGCCCGGAGAGAGAGGCCGACATTCCAGGGAAAGGCGACTGGTAGAGATGGGACTGAAGACCGGAGCCGTTGGAAGACAGGCCGTTGGAGAGACCCATTGAGTTTGGCGGCGGGCCTGGACCCAAACTGCACTGTGACAGAGACTGGGCCATACCGGACTGACGACCCAGGGCGGGCGGGAGCTGGAGCTGCGACACGCCCGGCATACCCGTGGCCCAACGTGTGTCGTTGGCGTGGAAAGAGCACAGGCTGTTCTCCATGGCGGCCGCGGCAGAGAACTGTGGCAGACCGGGTGTTGGGAGCAGCGTCCCCGGGGCGCGGAACACATTGGTGGTCTTCTTCCTTTTCTTCCACTTGGCGCGTCGGTTCTGGAACCAAACCTGGAGAGACAGAGTCAGAATCGTGGGTTAACCACCTGAGAAACGGTCGACTGAGGCAGAATGAGTCATGTTTATGTTCAGTATCGGTGAGTGAAACGATGGAAGAAAACAAAGCAGTATTACGCACCACAATCTTCTAGATTTACTCAGCAGAAGTAAATCTTCATCTCAGGGTATTTACATGTATGTAATACCTGTAAAAATACCCGTATTATACATGTACTGTATGTAATACCTGTATAATATTGCTGAACAAAGGGGTAATAAGAAATGGATGGTGTGTATTGTCTAAGGAATAGTTATACAGCAAATGGGTCTGTAAAACACTACTTTGACAAATGTGGATATAGAATATTTACACTTTGCAAAAACCTAATACCAGAATACTACTACAATATTCAGAGAGTACTGAGTACTGCATGAATTAACAGAAACAACGTTTTTAGGCTTTTCTCCAACCAATTTACTAATAGCAGACTGGAGCAGGAAAAAGAAGAAATTTATGACTAAAAATAGATGTGAACTAATGCATTGATGGTACCATTTTCAATGTATTTATAAGTATGTTTTTACAATTAATTTAAGTCTGAATATATCCCAGAAACCCTGTTTGATTTTTTAATATATAGGCAATTAACAGTTCTGGGAAACGAGGTTTGGAATTGTTGTTTTTTCACAGCAGTCCGTCATTTTCACCACATTAATAAACAATATTTTCTGTGATAAAATAAAAATTAAAAATCTTGACTAAACGCACCACACTGCAGTACAGACCTCACCGCCAAGGAACGAATAAAACCCACCCATTCACTTACGCACACGAGGAACTCGAACACACAGAACCGACGTGCACGGTTAAACACGCACACGCATTCTCTACTGGGCTTTATAAAGATTTCATCATCTTCTTGCGTGATTAATGCGCGCGCGAGGCCGCGAGTCGATGCCTCCATATTAAAAGTGAAATCTGGCTCTCATTCCGCTCAGCCATCCGTGAAACGTCGCCCAAACCCCATTACACTCCGGGGGGAAGAAAATGCAATTTCTCATTCCATTAAAAAAAAAAAAGTACAATATATTCTTTGGTTCTATTAAGATGTCGCTGATAGAGCATTTTAAAGGAGGAGAGCAGCCTGTGGAGGCACGCACTCACGCCCACTGTGGGCTGTACACGCACGGCCTGAACTAATGTTTACCAACAACGAGCAGTAGCCGCTGAACAACAACAACCTGGCCTGGTATGGACTAAAGAATTGATTGTTAATGTGACTAATGATTGTGCTACTTTTTATTGCTTTCACTGGGATGATTTGCATGATTTTTACATCACTGTTTAATAACCCATTCACTCCTACAAATAAGGATGAGAATTGTTGCTCGTGTGTGATTTATGTCGGAGACATCTGAGCTGAACAAAAATAGTTTGTGGAAAGTATGAAATGTTTGAAAGTTATTAAATATCCACCATTTGCCAAAATAAAGTGATTAATTAAAAGTTTAGAGACGAAGTCATTATTAAGAGTTTTGAATTTGTAACATAAAAAAATAAAACGTATATATACAGAGTACAAAATTCTGAAAAGCCATAATAATAATATGTTGGAAATATATATTACATTTTTTTAAAAATACATACATAGATGAAAAAATACATACAGTAGATGCTTGCTTTGCTTTGCTGATTAGAGACTAGAACAGTGTTTGTTGATGACAAATATTTCAGCACCACGGACAGAGGCAAACATGACTTTCTTCTAGATTCGATTGGGGATTTTCTTTTCTTTTTTTGTTAAATAAGATAACGATAATATTGAACTTCAATTGAAATTATTATATTAGATTGAATTGTTTACCTAAACAAAAATACACACGTGTTTTTGCGCAAGTGCTGTTATTTAGTGTTGTGTGTGTGTGTGTGTGTGTACTCTTTAGGGTTAGACATTATTTATAAAAGTGATTGCATTTTTCCAAAAAACCGCGTAACAGCACAACAATTGAAATGAGAGGAGATGGAGCATTTTAAATCACAGCAGGTAAGTTTGGTATAAATCACATTTTACAAACGCGTTTTCTGTTTTTTAACCAGGACGTAGGCACACAAGTATTGGTATTTGAAGGATTTGAAGTATTTTCAGCACGTAGTTCATTAACACATGAACAATCATTTACCTGAACTCTGGATTCAGTGAGTCCGATCCTCAGCGCCAACTCCTCCCTCATGAAGATGTCAGGGTAGTGGGTCTTGGCGAAGCTGCGCTCCAGCTCGTTCAGCTGTGCGGGAGTAAAGCGCGTCCGGTGTCTCTTCTGTTTCTGCTGGCTGGCGGATTGACTCGAGCTCTGCTGCGGCTGCTGCTGAGGCTGCTGCTGCTGTTTCTCCGGCTCCTTCCCGTTCACCGGCATGCCAGAAGCGTTGGATCCAACGGTGGTGATGTCCTCTCCCGGCAGGAGAGTCGTTCTCTCTATAGAGTCCGAACCGGGGGCCATGTCTCCCGGATGTCCCTGGTCTGCAACTCCACCTCCCAGCCGGCACTTGAGAGCTTCTCGATGTCCGAGCAACTCCGCCGCATCCTTCATCCCTGCGAGGACGAGGAGAGGCTTAGACTCGCTGAACATACGGTACATCCTAGGTACAATACTTTCTTTAAAAAATTAAAAAAAGATCGGCAGATCATGAATTAAATCCAACAACACAGTAAAAAAAGACGTAATTCATAATTTCATGCGCATTTTCTGTTCCCTGCTCTGAATTTCTGAATAAGCTGAATTACTCCAAATAACTGCTTAGAAAAACTACAACAATGTTAGCTGCTAAAACCTGTTTTACAGCCTATCTATCAATCAATTCAAAATAATAAAAGAGAAAGAAGTAAAAATCTTACACTGGAGTTTAGGGCCGGAGTTTACTGACGATAACTCACCGAGCCGAGCATCCAGGAGGTCGGCGTGTGAGAGCATGGCGTACCGCTCCAGGGTGAAATAGGCTCCAAAAAAATCCCTACAACTTTGGGAGCAATTTAAAAAGTATATATGGTCTAAATGAACAAAAATTTGGTTTGTGGTTAAAAAAGGAGGTCCCTTGCATTATAATGTCCTTTAGGGCGACGGGGAGGCGCTTATTAGTTGAAAGAAGTCGTGAGCTTCCTCAAATAAGAGCCAATCAGAGGAGGAGCTTGGAAATGTCAGCGACGTGACTCCCTCCTTATCCCCCAGCCCTCCTTTCTTTTTCTATTTTTTTCTATTAAACACACACACACACACGCGCGCGCATGCGTGCATGCGCACACTGAAACGTGCACGGAGCGCCACAATTCAATTCACTATAGCCTGATTTATTAGCTTTTCATGCTCAAATTATTCCACGTTAACCATCTTAATGTGTTTGCTTAATCTCACATAGTCTGTGCCATGACAGGACTCAGGCCTGTATATATATATATATATACATCTGAGAAACAACAACAACAACAATAGTAACAACAACAGTGAGTTTAAGTAAGGCCTGTAATGGCGACAGCCGCAGAAAAACATTAGTGATGAATAATTATCCTTGTCCAAATCTGAATCTTCTAATCACTGGACTGTAGCCTCTGACCTTGATTCACAAATGGAGAATTGATTCTCCAAACAACAAAAAATATATTAAAAAGAAAACACCTTTCAAGCCCATTAACTATTCCTTTAAAAATGCGTTTGGTGTCGAAGAATGGAATTATCTTTAAAATAATAATAATAATATCAAGAACTATGAATAAAATAGGAGCTGATATTCTTTCAGTGTTTCTGCAACTCCTTCCTCTACTATCCACGGATCACAACCGACCGAATATCGGTCCCATTTCCCACCGAATGGCAGGTTATTTGTGAAAACAAATGAAGGAAATAAATAAATAAACGAGTATAGATGGATTTAAGCTCTGTTACTGATCGCTCGCTTTAACTCCAATCGACTTTTTATCAGCACGGGCGCAATTAAAGGTATTTAGGCCCGGTTGGTTCAAACCAAAGCAGACGTTCTGGATCCTGAACGATCGCGGCCCCTTTAGCGGTGGTCTATAAGGAGGTCTATTATACAATTAACAGGACAGTCATTGATTTGGCTCTGCTCGGCTCCTATACTTCCACTCCAGACACTCCTGGTTAGGGAGGACTGCTGGCAGATGTCAGGGTGAGTCTGCTGAATAGACCACCGCCTGGGAATAAATGGGCTTCTTTGCAACCGAACAAGGGAGGCGTCCGAGCGAGGACTCCCCTCTCTCCTTCTCCTCCTGCTCATCCTTTATGCTCCTTAGCCGCAATCTGCCAGTACGCAGAGAAGTAGCCTATATATGTGTGGCCCAGCATGGAGGAGTATGTAGAATAGACCGGTGCCTGGACCAGGGAGATGAGGAAAAGCTGTGACCTGTTCCTGGAGGTTGAAGATAAGCATCAGCAGCGGAAGAAACTCAATCATTTGATTTAGATGTATTGATAAAATGAGAGGAGATGGAATGAAGGGGGACGGAAGAGAGAGTGAGGGGAGTGTAGTTTGTGATCAAAGCCTGTGCCGAGGTCGAGGGACGTGGAGTTTTTTTCTTCTTCTACTGCATTTAGGAATACAAACTATACATGCGGTCACTGGGAGACAACATGGGGATTTGACTAAAATATTAGTATACATTAATATTAATTCACAATATACATATATATTCACACAAAAAAGAGACACTCAATTAGAGGCTGGGGTCCATTTAATTAAAAAGACTCTGCAACGCGCATATTATTATTATAATTAATGATTAAAAAAATGCTGAGCAGACAAACACAACTAACCATTTAAACCATTCAGAGTAAAGGTGGGAATTTTGTCCTAATGTTTTTTTCTTTCTTAAAAAAATATATGTATGTAAAAGAAGATCATTGTAAACTTTAAATTAAATAAGGCTAAGTTTAAAAACTTTATTATTATTATTCTGTTTTATTTGTAGCTTATTTTGGCCTGTTTTAACTTTTCTGTTTATTTTTGTTTTTCTTTCATTGCCTTTTAGGACATTTTTAACCAGTTTTAACCACACTGTTTATACGAATTAAAAGGAGAATTATATTATTGACAATAATAATAATAATAATAATAATAATAATAATAATAATAATCAACAAACGATTAATAATACTAATTACTATTATTATTATTATTTTTATTATTATTATTATTATTATTGACATAATAACGTTTCCATATAATAAACCAGAGATATTTTGATAACACGCGGTCTCATTTTAATTTATTAACGTTGACCCCGAGTCTACCTGTGATAAGGCACCTGTAGTGGTGGTGATTTGATCTGGGAACCTTCGTGATAAATATTGTTTTAGTGAATATAGCCCAGCTGTCCGATCCCATTGCGGTAATAAGAGGAACCCATTTGAAATTGGTCTATATCTCACTCAGCCTCCCTAACTGGACCACATCAATCTTCCCCCCCAGTAAAAACACACTCACATACAATCCACTCGGGTTAATGCGGCGCATCTGAGTGCGGAACGGCTGTTTACACGCGAGGAGACACTTTTAATGGAAGCGCACCAAAAACAAATGCAATTCTGTAGAGCAATTTCAAAGATCAGGAATTCCGTGTCCGCACTCTGCGCGCTATTTTTGGGCAATAAAAATTGCGTTGAATCCATTGCTCATACAAAATGTGTGCATGTGTCTCTGCAGCAGAACAGGTTAAAATAAAGCATGAGACCAAACAACAACAACAGAAGCGGGGATGGAACTGTGTTCGTCTATTTTCCAAAGTGTCTTCATTTACTCCGTTATAACAGAAAATCTGAATGGAAAATCGATTTTCTGTCTGCTGCCTATATACACCAAGGTGGGCTTGTTTTCGCCTGGTTCGGATGCAAGGCAAAAAAAAAAAGAAGAGCCTTGCATCCGAACCGAGAAGTGCGGAGACTGGAGGGCCATTAGAGGCTTTCCCTCTCCGACCACCTAACCTGGCTGCATCAGCCTGCGCATCTCATGCCCTAATTAGGCCGCCTGCCCTCCGCCTGGTCCCCGCCACTGCGTGATCTGGTGCACACTGCGGTAATCATGGCTTCAAATAAAATAATCAGCAAAGAAGAGCGATTTCCTTAATGAGGATGAGGAGGCGACTGTCACGGAGATGTGGTGACGGCGCTGTGATGGAGGCCCGCGTGTCGCCTCTTCTCCCCCTCTGTCTCTACCTCTCTTTCCCACTCTCTCGCTCGCTCTCCGTATTCTCCCAATTACTAAAAGCAATTAAAGTAAACACGTATGATATATTTGTTGTTTTTTTCTTTTTTTCTTTTACTTCATCTTATCTACCTCACCTTTAAAATGTTTAATTGAAGATTTAATATCCTGCTGCTAAATATTGGCCACGTCTTCCAGATTAGGTTAAATATTTTAATATTTGTTACGCAGGTTCTGCGTAATTTAAGCACTTAAAGTACAAGTATTCTCCATTGCCTTTTAAATTAAATTAACCTATTAGAAAACAGCTTAAAAATCGAGAAATATATACATTTATGAATTAATTAACTAACTAATTAATCAATTAATCCACAAATAAACCGTATAAGACACTGCCAGGTATATTTGCCACTATCCTCTTCTTCTACTGGGATTTTACGCTAATTAGAAAAAGATTGACTGCTTTACTGCCACCTACTGGGTGTATTCTTCCACTACGACAAAAAGTAACAGAACAACAGAAGAGGGAGAAAAAGGAGAAGCTTCGTTAGTTTAGTCAAACCAAGTGCACCGAATGAGGAGAGGATCCAAAATGGCTTGATGAATGTGTCATCGTTTACATGCATGGGTGTGAACATCATGTATTTTTCAGATTTATCATAAATGAGTCAAAATAGACTGTTATCTGACAATAACAGATAATTAATTTGTGTTGATGCGGCAATTAGCAAATAAAAGAAACTGAAGAATTGAAAAGGAGGTGGAAAAATGTAAAAATCAGTGAATTTCAGTTCCATCTGTAAAGGGGGTGTGGGGGGGGGGTGAGGCTGAGGGGTAATGGAAGTTGTTTTCTACATTTTCTGAAAAACATCCTGGAAACACAAGGTTAGAGGCCAACGAGAGAACAAATCTGCTTTCAAATCTGTTTTGACAGTTTATTGGCTGCGAGTATCTACTGAGGTTTGCTGTGCAATTCTGGGGAAAAAAAAAAAAACTAGATTCCACTTGATGATGTGCTCTGGCCGTTTCCTTTTTTGTTTTGTTTTTTTGGAAACTGTGTGAGCAATTGTTTTCACCATTGCCAAATGGTTTAAATGTTTTTGCAAAGCATTTTTTAAAAAAAATACAATATGCAGCACAGTCTGGCCATCAAAGACGGGCGTTATTGATTTAAATTCTTAAACTTATTTCGTATTTTAAACCTCAGACAATTGCAATAATAAAGAAAAGTGTAAAAAAATGTGCGTAAATAAAATATAATAAATGATGAAAATCCCAGAGCAGCAAAACCTCATATCTGGTATGACGTCACCTCTCCTCTCCTCTTCCTCGACACCTTGACTTTCCCTTCAGTTCTGCTCCAGCTGCTGGAATATGTTCTTTCTTAACTCTGGTCATTAGTTGGGTCCATTACTGTGTCTCCATCATTAAGAAGCTGTAATGCATCATTGAAGGTAATGAGTGTCTTACATTAAGGATGCCAGCAAGCCATCCACACACCGCCTGAAAACAACTCCACTTTTATTCAATTTAGCCCTAAAGGTGTCAGAGCGAGGTGACGACAACAGGACCCGGGCTGACCACCAGGGCTGACCACCAGGGCTGACCACCAGGGCTGACCACCAGGGCTGACCACCAGGGCTGACCACCAGGGCTGACCACCAGGGCTGACCACAGGCAGGAGAGGAGAACACTACAGTTGGATTTTAAACAAAGGCTGTGGAATTTTAATGGCAGAAATGATTACAGTTTAATGTACTGTACCCTTATACACATACAGCACATACTCGTACTGCCGCTTACATGTAGTAAAAAGTACAATAAAAAGCCAATATTAAATGACTCTGAATGGCCTGAAATTAGAAACATGTGCTGGTAATTATCAGACCGCATTAAAGGCACAATGTGCAATTTAATGCTTCAGCTCATAGAAGAATGATTGGGATCAGTCACTTTGACCATATTCATCTGGACTGGACCACTGGACCAAACTTGATCTCTGTGGGGTATATGCTGTGGTTAGCAGGTTAGT